ATTGTAGGCCTAGAACAATGCATTTACGACTTCAACTTTTAGAATATCCACCAGCGGGGTTATTATGACGTCATGAAGTCAGAATGGTTCGATTGAGGGAAAGAAACAGAGCTATACAATCTAGCGAGATCTCGTTCCCTCAGCAGCACCACTCTGGCTTTAAGACATCATAATTAATTAAAAGCATTTAGAAAGACTGAATACGTATTTTGTCTTAAGGTGCTCCCACACTGCAATCATATAACATTATACCACATTGTGTAACACGATAACATTTAGGGCCTGTTTCACAATATCAGCAGCTGTAGCCAAATGCCATTTAGCGCTTGTCTGGACAGCCACTATCTACCAGATAAATTTGAATTAAGAACGTAATTTATATGAACTATCTGTCACATAAGTTTATTAGGTACTTATATGGAGGTGGTGAAATCGGCGCTCTTAGTAGCGTGTAATATACTCTTCAATATGTATTTATGTTATAATTCGTTTAAAAAATATTAAGTCAGTCTCTAACGGCGACAGGCGATAGTAAAAAACAAGTTTTATTAAAAAGTAAGGAATTCCATGTTTATATTATGCCAATTAACTGCTCAAGGATAAGGAGGAATAATACGAAAAAAAACATTTTAAACTGTAAAAACAATTTCTTTTTGTCTGCGTTTCTAGAGAGTTTACAGGCTGTATAACCGCTGTGTGGGAGCACCTTTATACCAATAGCACAAAAAAAAATTTCATTTCAGAACTAAATCGATTTTTAATTGGTCTAAAATGTACCGTCGCTCATTAATACCGTTTTTAAGTGTTAGGAATTACTTCTTCATAATGTAATGAGTAATATTACTAGCATTTAACCTTGAACTTCTAAACTATGATTCGGCTGTAATCTGTATTTCAGTGTAATTTTGAGGTGACTTGAATGTATACTTTATTCTTGGAATTATAAGGTATGTTTTTACTTAAGAATGAGCTTTGATTCATTTCAACGTGACATACGAATTGCGTTTTAAAAATTCTGTAAGTTATGATTGTTTGATTAATGCCAAATTTATAATGTTGCAAATAAGAATTACACAGAAAAATTATTTCTATTACTTTAATAAATGACGGAATAATTATATGTTTAAATTGCCTACCTTTATCAAGACCACATACAGTAGAAACGAGCGAAAATTATCGTTATACTACAGGAATAAGATTGAAAATGACTTTATTATTGAGATACTAATATTAACGATACACAATTACAGAACAGTCGCTTCTTATATATTCCAAAAATATTATTTCAAACTACATTTACACATATCAGACCTCAAAACAGCCAACATTACAATATCAAATAAAATAAAAATGCTTTCCAATATTACAATTTTACTTTAGCCAACACTAAACATAAATAATGTCTTATTTAAATGAAATAAAATATAATTTTAGCCACAGTGTCTCAAAAACTAACTATATGAACTAAAAAATCTACAAAACTATTTACATAAAATTAAACTTTAATATGTTACATTTAAATATGTAAAAATTACATAAATCTATTTTATATAACTGTAACAAAATAAAATATATATTTGAATAAAATAACATTACATAAATTAATCTGGTCTAAGACCATTAAGTTTTACATAAACATTGGTGTAATATGATATACATAAAATGACACTTTTTATAACCGTAAAGGTGTTTTTAAATTGGCAATATTTTTTAGATATAATGTATTGTAACCAGGTAACATTAAATCCCAGCCAATCCAATCCAATTATCGAAAATGTTAGACAATTGGTCTAACATTTTCGATATAGCATGACAATTATAGCTACGCATTTTCCACCTTCCTGCTAAAATTATAAAAGTGAAAGTACCTATGTATATTTGTTGCTCTTTCCTATTATTGCGGGAAAGCTGGCGAAAAAAGTGAATTTACTGATAATGCAAAAATATTGCTATTATACATTAATTCTTAAAATACTTTCTATTAACAGAATAGAACGACATATATAACTAAATATACAAATCACATATTTTCTGAGCAAAATTTACACTAAGCCAGCGCTAAATAAAATAATATATATTTTTTATACAGTGTGTTAAGTTAAACGAGGGACTTATTGAGGGAGGGTATTCAGTATTCGATTCTCGTCCCGAATATGTAAAAAACCTATAACCAAAATTTTTGAAGTAATTGTCTATTAAAATACATCATCATGAACACTGAGCGCGCACCAAGTGAACTTGTAAACAGAAACAGTACTTACATAAAGTAAGTCACGTTCCAAAACACGCGGCGATCTTGTCGAAAAGAATAGAGTGCGCTTAAGCCCGCTAAGCCGTAACCCGTAAGCGTAAGCGGAAGCGTTTTTATGGTTCTGTCTGTTATTTATTAGTGTTTTCGTTTCGTTTATATGTTTGTTAGGTTCATGTGAGTATACACTATTATGAGTTTGAATATGTCCCTCGTTTAACCTAACATACTGTATTATATTGCAAGATAAGTTGATAAGAACAAACCCGTTTGCGAGAATGTTTTACATCAACTATATACCAAAACCAATTAGGTACGAAAACAATATTATTAAGCACTAATAGTGCTATAAAATCGACCGACAATGCACATAAAGACTACAGTACTTATTACCAATTCCTTCAACCTGTTTACAGCTAATATAATTTTAATTTATTTTCCAATTGAATACTGATCATTTTACTGCAAGTAGCAGCTTTTAGACTATACATAACATAATATATTAAATCATTAGAATCGGTTAACCACATAACATCACGCCTTTTATCCCCGAAGGGGTAGGCAGAAGTGCACATTATGCCACTGTACAATGTAACACCTACTTTTCACTATTTATGTTATGAGTCACAATTCCAGACTCCGTGCTACTACTGACAATTTATAAAAAAACCCCATAAAGTGTTTTCGCATATATCTTGCTAAAGTGTACGTATTATACATAATCATAAACTTTTATCAGATGATAGACCTGCTTATGACTGTCGCATTTTTATTAACAACAGCTATATTAAACGGTTGAAAATTGACACCCCACATATTATTTTTAAGGTACTTGCATATTTTATTATACTATATTATATCAATAATATAATTTCTGCAAAAGCTACGATCAGCTATTTTATATTTTGGTTCTAATTTCAAACATGTTCCTACCTACATATAATATTTTTCGAGACTAACTGGTTTCTATTATGTTCTCATAGTTAAGAAGAATACAACAATATTTTCGAACAATAACAATCAACAATTTGATCGTTATAACTATATAACTTGAATCTTATCAATGTTATAAATGAGAATGTTTATCTTTCTATTACATTCAAACCTCGGAACGGAGCGCTTTTTTGTGACATTTGTGTCTTAGAGATAAGTAGAGAGACTGGAGAGTGATATAGACTATTTTTTCCTTTGAGTACACGGAAATGCCGCAGATGTCTCATTTAGTTAAAGGTATTATAATAATCAGCAAAAGCTGTGTGTTAATTCAAGTACAACACTCAAACCATGACATCTAGCTAGCCTATTCACCCCCGAGGAATAGACAGAGGTGTATATATTAAATGTAATACACACTTTACATAAATTATATTAGACTATAATTAACACAACATCAAAAATATAACTGAACCTCTAACAGTTTAAATTATCACAAACAATGCCTTAATGCCAACTACATATGGTCTAAATTACTTCAACGATTAGCACACATCACATTTCAATGCAACTGGCAACTGAAGTGCTTCGAGACCTTTCTGAGTTTTCTAAACTTTAAAATTATGTAAGATTCCATAATTAAATATTTTTTCCTCCAGATGTAAAAACTGGTGTATATTCAGTACTGTCAATTTCCACCAGTTCTGATGTTCAAGTAACAGGGAGGTAAGAAAATGAACATAATGTACAAATATATGGTTTTCGACTATCGATAAATACGATTCGCACACATCTTTGCTCGAAACCGTATGCGACTTTATACGAGTCTTTCAATTTCCTAGCAAATTGATTCTTACAGGCGTTGCGATACCGTTAATGAAACCTCCATGTACAGTCTACGTCATTATGCATCGGTAAGACTTAAGATAATTATGTAAATGCATAATAGGAATTTGTTTAAGACATCCAGACCATTTTCGTTACTAACTTAAACCTCTTTTTAAATGAGCTTGATCATGTACGAGTTTCTAATAAGCCATTTGGCAAAAACTTAAGTAAATATACACCAATCACAATCAGCTTCGTTTTTTTAATTATTTTATATTTATTAAGGCTTAGAACATACGAATCATTATGTAATTCAACAATTTAATTTAATTTATACTTGAATATTATTATTGTAATATTTATATATCAATATTAATCGTTCAGTGAAATCTTGTTACATTTATGTAGTATCGCTAAAAAATCTACGTTATTGGAATATAAACTAGCAGTTGTTATAAACTATAAATGAAAAAATGTATCTGTTTAGTCACAAACTCGTAAATAAAATAAGAACATAATATTTAAAAAGTGTTAAGCTTTCGAATCTGAGATTCAGCATCGAGCACGTTATTGAAAACTCTCAGTTCAATCTACAGAAACATAAAAATCCTTAACCAACACATTAAAACATTTAAATAACTTCTTCAATAAACATAACAAGATTCCAATCTTCATGCCAAAAATGTACTAATGAAATGCATCATGACCCGATATACGTCTTTGCGACATGTCACAATATTTGTTTACTTTTGTTTGGACAATCGCTTGATAGAGTCCCAAAGCAATTTATTTACTCGAAATTGGGTATTTGCCAACTAGTCAAATTCAATACTTTGTCGAACTCGACAGTCAAAAACGACAGTTTTCTGTGTTTCAATTTTGTACGAGATTGTGTATTGTGACGTCACGTTTTTTAGCGTCAAACAGCATACTTATTTCTTAAAAATATGCTGTAAAAATACTAAAATTAAGTTGATCATAAAAACAAATAATGAAAGTGTGATTATTTATTAATAGTTTATTGTATTGCACAGTCGAAATAATTTATTTTTTATTAATTAGGTACCCAATTTGTAGGTTAGGACTTAGGTTGAGTGGTAGTATAGTCCAATACTGTCTTTATCATTTTATCAACCAATAATCATCTCAGTAGTACATTTATAGCGTTATTCGTCTACCTACCGCCGTCCCGAGCCACACGAGCTGTGTACCAGTGTACACAGCTTTATAATAAGTAACCATTCAAATATACCTTTAGTTAGAAGCTGAATTTGCCTCGGACTTTGAAGAATCCCATGCTAGTCTTGTTGTGTAGAAGTGACGTCACTCCTACGTAACTCTGTATGACTATGGGGGAATGGTGTATACAACACGCTGATGACGTCATATTTTCTATCGCCCTTTGAAGCTTGAGTGCAAATGTTTCCATGTCGTACGTTGCTTTTTCTTCTGGACCTCCCTCTGTAATTAAAAGTCACCGGTATTTTATTTCAAGTATTTAATAATAAGTTTTATTTGGATCAGGCAAATCTACCTGCGTGATATGAAATGTGAACACTACGTTGCATTGCACACTACAATACATATAATCATATTATTATAATTCCGTTTCGATACTACTGATGACGGTCTCTGACCATCATAAGCCGTGTCAAAAACTGAAATTCCCAATCACATATTGCCCGACTCGCAAGTGCAATCACACTACCAACGCTCAGCCAGGCAGTGAAAATATTAAAATAATTATAAAATAGCTGAACCCTGAGAAACTGCTAAAAATTGGTAGAAATGGCTTAATATCGTATAATAGGCCAACATGTTTTTAAGGGTATTAACCGATAAACGAGCAGACAGAAGTGAGTTACCGGCCTTTTGGGAATTAGGAATTTGAGAATTGTTGGGGATTGGGGAGACTGGAGAGGGGGTGGCAATTGAGTCTCCGGTAACCTCACTAGTCACTCACACGACGAAACACATCGCAAGTGTTGTTTCACGTCGGTTTTCTGCGAGGCCGTGGTATCACTCCGGTCGAGCCGGCCCATTCGTGCCGAAGCATGGCTCTCCCACATTTAGATACACTTTAAGTCGCTCGCTTATATCGCTAAGTAAGATATTATAAAACTTACCTTTATACCAGAAGATGGGATGTGATGCGAAAGTGAGGAAGGGCACATCTTGGCTGAACGGGTTCCACACGGTCTTCAATGGAATCGGCTCGCCCTTGTTCCACATCAGTCGCACTCCTCGGAGGTGGCGCTCTCTATAATGACCATAAAATTAATTAGTTCCCTTATACTTTTAATATTTTGGTGATTGTCTTAAACATTTCTTCCATGTTAGTTGTGAGTTTGTGACTTGTGAGTAATACTTACAGATTCATAATGAAAAATGTATTTTCAGTAAAATATCAAACTTAATATGTAATATTAATGTATAAATCGTTTATCAGGTACTTATACAATTTTGTTTCTGACAATTTTAAATACTAATAAATAATATTAGGTGCTGGGAATCGAACCCAAGGCTTCAGCTTTTTATATCAACTTACACACACTTGCCAACTTAAATAAAAGCATGAATATCAATCAATACATTGTTAAAATGTGTCATTTATATTTTTCAACTAAATAATTTAATACTACTTACTATTATAATTCTAAATACTAAAACATAGCATTAATGAAGCTACACACTAAAGACATGCATTTAAATTGCGTAAATTATTAAAATCATAATGAGATTATTTTGCCTAGCGTTATTCATAAACACAACACAAATCAGTTAGGTACGGTACATGCTTTTTTAGAATATTATACCCCCATGACCTCTAGAAAACAGCGAAACGTTCTATTTCAGAATACCTAGAATTATTAGGTATTTTGGCTTTAATAAAAAAAACTGCACACAATAATTAGGTGTGTGTTACTTAACTTTATTGCTAATTATTATAAATATCCGTTTTTATGGAATAAGCCAGCAAAGGTGCAGACGTATCACTTGATGGTAAGCAATTGATGTCGATAAGGACACCCGGGACACAAGTACGTTGAGGCGTTACGTCTTTGGGTTAGGAATTTGAGTATTGTTGATGTTTTTTATGTTAACTTCTATAACATAATTCTTTTGTACTACTTTACTAAATTCAAAGGAATGGAAACATTGATAATACCTGTCAAGTATTTTTTATAGTAACTATAATGAGACGAGCTTAATTAACTTAAAAAAAAAATTGTATACCTTTTTTGTAAAACTAGTAGGGCTTTTCTCATTAATTTACGTGAGTAACTTGTAATTTTTAGTTAATACTGTAATATGGTAAAGTATTTTTCTCAATAAAACGAATATTATTTTGAAATGGTTATTATGTATCAGCAGGCAAAATGTCACATGATCTAAAATTAAGTACTAAAGTTACCCCAACTTTAGGTATACATAACTTATCAACATAGCCTCACTACTGAAGTTTTAAACAAGCACTACCAAAAGGCTTGAGACTAACTGCAGATTAATGTAAGTTACTATAACTTAAATGAGTATAAAAACAAGCTTAAGCTACGAAAATAACCCAAAACAAGCTAAAAACATGTGAGTCCTACAGCAACTGAAAGTACCTAGGTTCAAAATACTTGGGATCGAACAGTTTACTGTTCTGGTGTTCAACTTCTTCGTGGGAGGGGCGCCGACAGAGACGGTCGATCACGCAGTCTTTCACGACCGTCGTTACCCCCGATGCGATGCCGTTCAGACGACTGTCCACCGACACATTTGTTAGACAATATTGCAGATAATTAGCACCAATAGTTTAGTTACCTTATTTACAATAATTCTTATCTATACGACTATACGAAATTAATACTTACAAAGAAAAAAAACTAGAGGTATAAGAACCACGTACATTTTCTACTAAACAGTTAAACCAATGTTGACGAAATTTTTGTCTAGGTATAGATTGTAATTTAATTTTTTATTGTTACTCATTTAGATAGCGTGTACAATATCTATTATGTACATATCGTAATATCATATTGTATTTAACTTTTATTTTTATGAAAAGAAAATAGTAAATAATAGAGATAAGGAGGTATCAATACTATAATTAATTAAACCTGTGGCTGTATAATTATTCCGCCATATTATAATTATATTACCTAAACAATAAGCATCGAACAATTTTTATCAATCAAATGTGCCTACGTAGGTGCCTTGTTGATTGTATTTGATAAGCAAACACAACAATACCTAACATGAAATATTTATATTTTCGTAGTTACATTCTGTCTCGAATTAAGTCGAAAGTGATACATATTGTTATTGTTTATAAAAGTATAAGTAATTACATTTAGATACCAACACATTCTTGTAATTTTACTTTGTATTCTAATATCTCGATACTAGAATAAGTACTTGTTCAGTCTTTGCATATCCCACTGGGGTGAGTTTATGTATGTATGTATGTACATACGTTATGAATCTTGATACTTTTTTGTACTTGATACTAGATACTGTATTTACCGGAGCTGCGGACAACCTCAACGGTTACCGAGGCTCCGGCTCGGAGCAGTAGTAGGAACGGGGTGGTTTGTAATCAGTATGAGTCTGACACTCCCTCTCGCTTTACCCGGGCGAGAGAAGTCATTGGATGATTTTCCTCCTCAAAAAAAAAAGATACCATGTTTTCACAATCTTTTTACTTACATAACATAACATCACACCTTTTATCTCCGAAGGGGTAGGCAGAAATACACATTATGGCACTTAATGCCACTGTACAATGTAACACCCACTTTTCACTATTTATGTTACGAATCCCATGTAATAGAGGGTGAGCCTATTGCCATATACCGGGCACAATTCCAGATTCCGTGCTACTACTGAGATGTTTTTTTATAAGTCATTTTTTTAGCTTCAATATTATCTATGTTTCGCCTTATCTAAATATTCAAAACCAGTTATCAAAAAATAGTACATTTAAACATAAATGATAAACCTGATAAATACAAACACGTCATACTTAAATGACAATGCAACGTCGTCTGGGGATTACCTCAGAGGGTAACCAGAAATGTAACAACTTGTAAATAAGTTAAGTAAGTATTAAACTTTCGATGTCGTACTACTTAATCCAGTCTCTTTTATAAGCAAAACTAATAAGATAACTATTCAGTAAAAACTGAGAACTATAACTAACACGACTATTTCGTTTTTTAATTAAAAACTCTTAAATAAATACTAGTTGATTGTAGAAATACCGTTAAATTACGTTATTTAAAAATAATGAAATCATTAAGCGAATACGTTGAAGGCTAAACTAAATTCACGCGCGGCGTTACAAACGAGTCAAAACCAGTTCTGCTTTAAACAAAAACATTAGCTTTCTGGTGAAATTTGTACTGGCTCATACATTAACTATTTTATTTTATCCTCCCTTCTTATTTAACAATAAAAGAATAAAATTAAACAAAGTCTAAATACCTATTTACTCATATTTATGGAGAATTTATATATTGTTGTATTGTCTACAATAGGAAATCATAATAAAATATAACATATACCTATTATATGTACCTCCAATCAATTATTTCAATGACAGAATCTTGTTTAGTTGAACACATTTATAATGTACATACTATAACATGTACTTTATGTAAATAGTGTTTTAAGAAATACTATTTACATAATAGTGTGTAAAAAATATTATTTACACAATATTTTTTGTTATGAGCCACCACCAGAGTTAAGCATAATTATATTTTTATTTTAAAATATTTTGATTTTCTTCCACCTATCCTTATACCAAGTTACTCAGTATTAGCACAATACACTTTATTTTTATAATGACAGGGAAATAAACAGTATACTCACGGAACTAATGATGACGGAGGATAGACCAGGTCTCCGATAACAATGGTGTCCAAGTCATCCAAGTATGTCTTCTTGAATTCCAGCTGTTTCATGGCTATGAAGTCATATTTAATGGTCATTACAAGTCTTGACGTTAGGAGGATAATTCTCTCTTTTTCATTGTCCCATAGGGTTATTCTGGAAGTTATTGGAAAAGTAATTTTAATATTTTTCTGGTTTGCTGGAACTTGGATCTAAGAATGAAAATTATTATGGTATATTTTCTATTGTATCTAGGGAAGTAAACATCATTAACTCGTCGAGTACCATCATCATAGACGCAATTATAGAACAATAGGTTGCGGTCACCGGTGACCGCTTGGTGTTTGACAGTTTAACTCGTCGAGTACCGGTTTTGTAGACACAATTATAGAACAATAGGTTGCGGTCACCGGTGACCGCTTGGTATTTGACAGTTTAAACAATGATGACAATAAATGGCAACATGTCATTATTTTTCAATATCTATGAATGTATACTCAATTTATATAAAAAAAAAATATCTTTGACTTATACTTAACTTATAAATAAATAAATAAATAATAAAACTTAAAAGTGTAAGTGTGCATATCTAACTATACTCTTTTCTGAAAGCGACAGGATGCATATTTACACCAGGGTTGTTGCGAATATCTGCATCAGCATCAGCTGATCATCAGCTACATTTTAAACATCATCAGAATCATTATCAGCATTGTTCGTTGCTGATGCTGATATTTGAGTCGAAATTTTACTAAGCATTCAAGTGCCCCATAAAAAACAATCGGAGCCTTGATCTTTCAAAATCTTATAAGACTAAAAAAGAATCTGAGAACAATTATTGCATAACATTACATTGACACTGTGCTTTTTTAAAATAGAAATTAAAAGTCTTACTCAGTCAGCAGCCAGGATCCTAAGTACTCTCCATCTTCAGGGAACAGCAGGGCGGTGATACACTCCTGTATGGCAGTGTCCACCACTCCCTTACGGAATGTAAAGAAATCTTTGATGTTCTCCCTGTCAAACGGCACATCATAACGAGGGAACACTGCTTGGATACCTGTTGCCTGCTCCGATGCAGGATTCAGCGGGTCCTCAGGCCCTCGGGCATCTGTAGCCAGAGACGTAGCCATATTACAAACTATGTGTGTGGCAACTATATAATAACACTACCAGTAGCCTTGAATCAACAGTTATCATAGGCACCATCTTGTTTTTATTTATATTAAACCTATTTTTATTATTGTCCAATTAAGTAATGGAAAATTCAATGCTATATTGGGAATTATGTAGGTATGTTACGCCAATTATAATCATGTTACGTCAATTATACGCCTTTTATAATCATGTTACATTTTGGAACACAAAACATTTAGATTTTTACTCACAAAGATACATTTTTTACCTGAGAGCCAGAAAAACAATCCAGCAGGAATGTGGCAAAGTATATTATTTTCAAAACATACCGGCAAAGGAAGACGTAGAGGAGGTCAAAGAATTTGCACCAGATAACACCGAGGGATTTACACTAGTAGGGGGTTTCCTTCTTCCCAAATTATCCGTATTATTAGTAGGATTACTTTCTGAATTCTCCGCCACGTTCGTGTCTGACGACAGCTGCAAAGTACCGCCGCGGAACTCCAAATCCTCGTCCAGTAAATCACTCATTATGTTTTTGTATAATTTTATTTACTCAAATCACTGTTTTCTTTATAAATAATAATTGCTCTGCGTAAATAATAAAATAATCGACCGAAGACGAACTCTGATAAGCAACGTCAATGTCAAATACGTTTCGATCCACTTCTAACACCACTTTGTGCTTTATAAACTCGATATTTATTTTTATAAATTAACAAAACACAGCTATCTTAATTTCTAAAACAGACACTTAGCTACTTTAATTAATAATCGAAATGTAGAAATAAAATTTGAACAAAAAATATTAAGTTTCAATTAATGAAAATAGTATTGATGAAATAGAACTAAACTGTATTGCGGATTCTGATCATGTCAAAAATGGCGGTAAATATTTGAATTTATTACGAGGTGATGTTGAAAAATATATTTTTAATTTTTATCAACAAGCTGTCGGCAAGGTAAGAATTAATATCTCAGTATCATTACTTTGATTTCCAATAGAATGTTTATATAAAAAAGTACCCTTAACCGACGAGCATGCATGAAAAGATTGATGACTGTTAATGAAGCGAAAGAGGTATGTAAGAATCGTAGTAATTGGCGTTCCTTAGTCTCTGCCTATCCCCATGGGAGACAGGCGTGAAGTTATGTATGTATGTATGTATGTTTATATAAACACATTGATATGTTTACTTAATCCAATCGTTAACATTAGAATAACAATTCTCAACAACAATCACATACTTAGAAAGAATCTTTAAATACCTACCTAAATGTGAACCTTTTATTGGAAATAGGTAGTTTAATTAAAACAAAGGTTGTAAAATATTTATTTAGGAGAAATTTTATTATACAAAAATAATTGTAACTAAACAAGAAATAAGTTCTTATTACCTAAATTCTGGCACATGTTTTCAATGTATGGCAAAATTTATATAAATCGGTACCTTCGTAGTTTACAGAGAGGTACATAATATTTTCCATAGTGTAGTCACTATTTTTGTTTACGAAGTTTGTCAAAAAATCACTTAAATAATTATCTAAAACTGTACAGCTATACATATCTAATTGAATAATATAATACAAATACATAAATAATAATACATAGGTATATAAATTCGTGTAAAATGTGTTAAACACGGGTCTTTAACCTTCCTAGCATTTTCCAATTTAACTTTTTAAACCTTTAACCCTAAAATGCAAGGATGAATTATTTTATTTAATCAATCACTCAGCTGTCAAAACTTTTCTGACAGGTGAGAAATTTGATTTATTTGGGCCTTATCGTAAAAATACATACAAAGACGTACATATTATTAAGTAGGTACTTATTTTTATACATAATTATACAAATGTATGAGCTACTTCGAGGAAACAAAGGAACCGCCTTATCAGGTCATTGACCCTATTCGTCATGTCCTACATTTACAATGAGGAAAACTATTAATCAAATGGTTTTTTAATTCAATATCTTCGGAAGCAGCTCAATATTGATCACGTTAGTAACAGCTGCACCGGTTTGCAGGGCAGCGTGGCGGGTACACGATACACTGGTCCATGCAGTACACATCAGCTCCTTCGCGACCTTCCAACTCTCCAGTAGCCTCGCATACTTGCCTGAAAATAAAATAAAACAATGTAGGGTAGTCACAAAGTCACAATTTCAGGTAGTTCAGGTACTTAAAGTTTATCTTAGATATCACCACTTGTCTACAATCCACATTTTTACCAAAGAATACTGAATATCAATATTTGAGTGTACTCTTTTTTTTTTGTATTGTTATTGAGCTAAAAATAAAATGTTTTGACCCACGTAACATAACATCACGCCTTTTTAACCCCGAAGGGGTGGGCAGAGATGCATATAACCGCACTTAATGCCGTACAATGTAACACCCATTTTTAACTATTTATGTTATGAGTCCCATGTAATAGGGGGTGAGCTTTGCCTTTTTGACTCACCTATATCTATAACCATCAATTATTATAACACAGAATATTTATTTTATGACTTACTGAGTCACCTAATTTGCACAGCCAAAAAACCATCAAGGACTATTTTAGGATATAAATGGCGCCTTTCGAAATAAAGTTTTACTCATATTATAATTAGTCGATTAAATTAATACTTACGGGCAAGTACACAATTCTTCAGGACAATTAGGAGGGTATCGAAGACAATTGGTCTGACACCAACTCAGCATACCAGGGAGTCTACTGAAGGATCTAGTCGGCACACACACTTGATCCCTGAAACATTATTATTTTACGTATTACATATTTTAGTCTAAATTAGTACATATGCCGATTTTATGTACACACCCATAAGACGACCTGTAGCAGGAGGTTTTAGAAACCAGTCCGATTGGTGACAATAAATAAATAAACTAGAAATTAAAGGAAACAAGTTTTTGGTTGCTTCACCTTTCTTGCCATAAATACGGTACCTAAGCATTAATACGGAAATTATTATGGAAAGTTTTTAACTCCTAAATAGAAAGAAGATAATGCGTCTAAATGGAAATAAATAATACAATATCAAGATGCATAAATGCTAGGAGAGAGCTTCATTTGACGTATAGGCTTCCAAATACATAATTTATACATCGTATCGTAACTTAGCATCAAATCTACAGAAATATGTAATAGAGATAGCCGACGAAGATCAGTCCCAAGTCACAAGGGTTCTGAAACATGGGATTAGGTCATTACTTAACGTTTTATGTTTTAAGGGTCTTACAACATCTAGCACATGCCTAAAATTGAAGCGTCTACTTCAAACAGATATATGTATTATTATGGTACAAAGATTTTCAGTTCATTCACAGTCACAGCACAGGGTCATGTTAGTCACAACTACGGAAGACTATACAGCTGTACATTCTTAATATACAAAGAAAAGGGATTTAGGGTTGACAGCTTGTTAGTTACGTCATAATTTGTACACTAAGTATATGAGGACTAAACTACGGAACACAACTTAAAGAGGGGTGGAAAATTTATTCACAAAGACACCGTCACTTCAGCCATAACCTTTAAATCATTACAAGGACATGACAAAGTATACCTAATGATCGGTGGAACAAATTCCTCCACGGAATCTGTATCAATATCGTTGCTGAAAGAAAACGTTCAATATTATAGTGCACGTTAATGACAGTGAACATATAATTTTATACATTAAACATACATAATATTTAGGTTTTACCTAATTACGTATGATTCCTTTCGGATATCCGTCAGTTTCTGTCTGAAATATTAAGCCACAAGATACATAAAGTATAATATAAGGTAAGGTACTTAAATATATACTGATATAGATATGTATACGTAAAACATATAAAAGAAAACAATAAAATTACAGAAGTACACACATTTATGAACAAAATAATACAAGATTTATGTAAAACTGTTGTGTTATCCCACCTGACGACCAGAGGGTAGACATTTCTGGGCATATTAAGATCCCTGTAGTATAGGAGGAAGGGATAGTCCCTTCTGAGGTCTCCAGCAAAGGCAGGCGGAAGACCACCAGTGCTGGTTATCACACTGACGTCAGCGCAATTCCTGAAGGTCTCTGAGCGACCACAACCGACGGCTTCTGTGCCGTTTGAGCAAACGCCCCACATGTTTCCTGTGAAAATTAAATTATTATTACCTATCTTTGAGAACTACCCTATCACCTAGACAATTACTCTCGCTTAATTTTACCTGTGTAATAAGTCCATTGCAGAACACACTGTGTGCAAGTAACATATGGAGGTAGTCGCACCTTGTACCTGAAGATCTCTTTCTTAGCCGTGTCCAATGGAATTAAGAACCTGTCGTCTCTCGTCTCGGAGATATATAGCGGGTACCTGAAAAAAATGATTGAAGAGTTTTAATTCAAATCTGCGTACGTAGCAAAATTGCCAAATACACATTATTTACCCATTAACTCAATCCAAAATCATCTTCTTGTTATGGTAAATAAGGGCCCAATGCCCTTTAAATTCAATAATAAAGCCAAAAAGGTAATACGAATAAAAAATACGCTTGTATCAAATTTTGGAGTCCACTAACCTGTCAAAGCATTCCTGAGAGGCTTCTTGCTTCGGGTTATTGTTCGGGCATAGTTTCATAACGAATGTTCCAAGGTGGTTTGCTGTCAACTCCACTTCTACTTCGATTTCCTGTGGAATTGGATTAGCATCCTACTTAACCGCCACGATTGCTACTTACCAACCAACCGCTAAAATCATAGTATAAAAGTCTACTCTTTGAATGTTCATCAGTACCTATGTGACTGTGTTCAGTTGATAATCTTCAGACTCTGTTAAATAAGCTTTTGAGCTGTAGCATCACAAATGTAGAAAGGATTTCTCTTCGAAAAGGGTTATCATTTTATCAATTTCTTTGTTACTTACAAACTAATACGCATTCCAAGAGTTTGGCATTCAATCCATGACTTTTAAGTCTCTTACTCTTTATTTTTAAAACAGGAACTTTATAACCTCTTTTATCAAATATGTATTCACTGACCTGGCCAACACTGTAATGTCTGGTGACGATACCTTTACCGTACATGCCACCTGCTTCATGGGGACGTGGCTCCGGTATGTGGTGCGCATCACCACAAACACCACATTTTCCTTCATTTTGCTCCCATTGGACTGGAATAGATATAATAAGTACCTACAATTTTTATAAGCCTTTGATTTTTGCCGTATCGCACTGTTCTCTGTGTATTTATATCAAACAGAAGGTACGTAAGCAGTCTGCAAGTTGCAAACAAACTCATAAACCTGAGGGATTTGTGCCATTGACTTTGACAATCCACAATGGTCAGATTCTTTAGATAAGTATACAGAATCCGATTTACACGAACGTGACTCGCATTAGCTATTTTGGGAGCGTTCAAGTATTACGTAACGCAATTTTTGAAGATTTTTGACCCCCCCTCCCCCCACTGTAACGCTCCGTAACGTTTTTCTGTACCCCCCCACCCCCTCTCTTAAGGTTACGTAACACTCAAGTCATCATTTTTACCCTGAAGTCGCAAAAAGTTGTTATAGTTTTTATCCTTCGTATGGTTTTAATTGCCTTATAATAAAACAAGAGATTTTTAATTCGCAACACCTGCGTATTTTGTTTAATTTTTTTATAAATTTTTGGCTTTACAAAACACAATTGTTTTTCTCCTTCATTCTCCTAAGTATTTTAGCTTTTTTACTAATAAATTCTTCAAATAAAATAACATATTTATTTTAACCTTTGGCAATGCAATTATAAACAGAAACCCAACTGAAATTAAACATTTTACTCGAAATAAAATCGTATTCTTAACAAAATAAAAAATAATCAACTATTAACCAAGTATCTAAGTAGGTCTATAAAAACAATTCGATTGAAATTACTGCTCCTCTGTCCACGGGTTTGCTAGCCACTCAGATTCTTTCATCACTGGCACCTGGAGTGCAGACGAAGACGGTTCTGGAATTGTTAAGCCACTTGCATCAACTTCGTCTTCGTCGAGCCAGTCAGCATCCTCAGACGATGTTTCATAACGACGCACAATGCAGAGAAGCTCATTTGCCCTTCTGGCAGCAAGGCGCTGTGGCCGTACTCTAGTTTCACAATGGTCTTGGACAGTCTTGCCATGCACGTAACGACAGTGCATTTGAACACTCCTGTGAGATGTGAAATAGATCCCACAGGTTGGACATACTTTTTTCTTTAGGTCGGATTGTACAGATGGACAAAAGAAATCGTAAGGCATCTGCTTAAACCCTTCTAGAGGAGGTGACAGATTAACGGACAACCTTACAAGAAGTGGCGAAAACTTGGATTTTCCTTTGTCTAACAAACTGGGTACTACGAGCTTGCTTGGGGTTTGAAGTATTGGGCAAGGTGGCGGCATGAAAGTATCCGTAAACACAGATTTCAATGCACTTCTCGGACACTTCTAACGAATACTGACAACAAAAACAACATTAAATGACGTACAATACAATCTAGGGATTCCCCGTGAAATATAAACGAAAAGGTTTACCAACATGCGAGAACAAATTAAAAATGGCGACCAGACTAATACAATCGAGAGATTCCCCGTAAAATGTAAATGAAAAGGGTTGCCAATTTGGGAGTTTTATTTCCCTATTTTTTTATATAAACAAAGAAATAATGTTACGTAACGTGTTGTAAGAAGGACCCCCTCCCGCCCGTGTAACGCATCGTAACGTTTTACGAGACCCCCCCGCCCCCCCAAATTGCGTTACGTAATACTTGAACGCTCCCTTTGTAAATTAACAAATGAAATAGACTTTCAACCTTGAATAGTTTTATTGATAGGTCATTGAACTTAATTTTCCGTAAGATCGTTGGCTCCTAGCATCATTAGAGGAATCAATAGACTAAGAAAAAAATGTTTGCGGTAACTAACAGGCTAATGCAAGGATAATGCCCTGCCTATGCGGATGTGTTATTAATAAAATTAAGGTGTGAAAATATATGTAAGTAATTGGAATACAGGTAACATTTATCATTTTTAGAAAAATAATATATACTTAGTCATTTTTGCGTTATTTAAAACTCATTAAACTTTCGTAATGATAATCTGAATAAGCTACTTGTGATTTTTTCATGAAATATTAAGTACCTACAATAAAAACTTTAGTCGCCTTCACTGATAGAGAGGCGTGTTCATTTTGGTTAAGTATAGACTGACGCAGACATTTAGTGGTTAAGATCCAATTAGGTAGTTTACAATTCAAAAACATTAATTTGCATAATAATAATTGACATGTACAAATACGGAAGTCTATATCTTGTCTAATCTTATAGATTGTCAAAATTGTTTTTATTTTATCGCAGATTAGCATATAGATCGATAAGGTAACAAAAACTGAACTTAATCTCAAGATGTAGGCGCCACCAGAATAATATTTATTAACCAAATGCTGATACTTATAAAAAAACGCATTCTTATCCATACATAGCACCTTCACTTCACACTTTTTGACACAGTATGCAAACAATTTGTAGAATCTGCGTCATTATATATATATATCTGCGTCATTATTAATATATTTACTGGATATGTTTTTTTTTTAAATGCAGAAAGCTCACTGGTAAAACTATTTTTTATCCCTAACTATATTTTTAAGCACATTAATTACCTGCATACCCTCCACAGAAGAGTTCATTATCGTTGTAATTGACGGGGTTGGGGAACCCGAACCTCCACATGGAGTTACGAGCTGGAGGGTCCATCAATCTGCCGTGACCCTCGGCACCACGGCGTGCGCTTCCTAACATCTGGAAAATTGGATAAAATGCCTTATTAGTACCAAGAAAGTACACGGCTGGACTACCAGACAAATAGTGGTTTAAAATGAATTACCGGATAGATTTTTCTGTTTACAAATTTTTAGTAAGTATCTTATAATGCGAAATCCGAAAATACGACTGAAATAATATGGGTTTTAGGCAATAATAGAGCTATCTGTTAGACCTATTTTGATCGATAGTAATTAATGATAACTTAATTAGGTAACCATTGATGATATCGAGGGGTAACGGGCTATTTGGTTTAAACTGTCAAACACCAAGCGGTCACCGGTGACCGCAACCTATTGTTCTATAATTGTGTCTACAAAACCGGTACTCGACGAGTTAAGCGACATTTTGGGCGATATTGAGTTATTATATATATTCGACGGAGAAAAATTCGCTGATTCCGAATATATATATAACTCAATATCGCCCAAAATGTCGCTTAAACCAAATAGTCCGTTACCCCATAATATTATTATTTAAGATCAAAATTCTTACCTGTAGTAAAAATATCCAAAATGTGAGGAAAGACGTCCCTCCCGACTTATGCCTCCTTAACTCCATCTGAAACAGAAGGAATACGTTGTTTAATATTAAAAAATCTCGTCTGCCATCTAACAATAAATTTTCCGTAGCATTATAATATTTTTTTGCATGGCGAGGTGATCGAACTTACAACCGATAAGAGATAAAATGAATCGAAGATCTGTTATGACCAAATTGACCAATGCAAGAAATAATCAAATTGCCATATTCTTTTTATTGGAATTTTATATATATTTAAGATTATAATTTGAAAATTTCACAGGAAGTAAGGTGCTGGCAAACCGTTACAAACACCAGCAAATTGTTATTATTTTTTAAATTAAATTACCGTTCTTTGCAGCTGTGTGCAAGAATGCGACCGTCGTAAAATCAATAGATTATTTTTCGTAACACCTTATTTTAAAGATAACAACGGTACACGCAGAAATTCGATAGCATCCAGCTTGGTCCCGGTGTTTTGTATAATAAAATGTGATTTTATCGCTTTTTGCCAACATTAGTGTCGGCTAAACGAGCACAAAGTTACGAGATAAAAGGTAATTTATTTTTAAGCAACAACGGCACTGTTCGTGAATTAATTAAGTTGCGATTTTAATAAAATATCTATGAAATATGAGTAGGACTGTCATATTGATAGGATTTATAGTAGAGAAATATGATAAAGATGGCAATTAAAGGATCAATCGCCTAAAATTCCGAAATCACTGACTAAATATTTATAGCTAAACGTTATCTATACATAAGCAAACATATATCTGTTATTTTTTAGGTTCTAATGTTTTAAAATTCTTTTACCTTTGCCGACTTCAAAATATTTACGTTCACATAGAATTGCTTTTAGAATTCATACATCCAAATACAGTCATCACAAAAAAAATGTAGTCTATGTTTTGTCCCCAATAAGGCACGGAGTACTTGTTTGAACAAAAGAAACTAAGCGAATGAACTTTACTCTCAATACTTTTAAACAAACAAGTTCAAAATATGAGCAAAAACACTCATAAATCACGTCATACAATAAAACAAAAAACACATATATTTTTAATCTTAATGGTGGTTAAAAGACCCCATTAAAATGTGTGAATCTTTTTTTAGAACAGCTCTGATTTCGAGTCTTTTGATTGCAATTTTTCCTTAAAGACTACTACCTAATATTTAGGCTTATAGTATACCAACCGATTTTAGGTACCTAAAACCCAGACTCATACTCAAAGGCGTGCTTTATGCCTAATTGAATTATCCTAGATTTGATTTTCACGCATTTGGATCCCCATTTTTCTATTATTACAGTTTTTTGCATAAAATATTGAGAATCAGGAACATATACACACTCGGGACGGGTTATTGGCCCCGAAAGCGAAATGGACCAATTATCCTTACTAATATTATAAATGGGAAAGTGAGTTTGTTTGTTCCGCTTTCACGCCGTAACTACTAAACCGATTGCTTTGAATTTTTACAGACATAAAGTTAGAAGTCTGGATTACTTTATATACCGATATAAAGTAATCCAGACTTCGTCGGATCGGATAGGGTTCTTTTTATCCCGGAAAAATTTATACTCCCGAGGGAAAACAAAAGTGTTGGTATAGATGGCGCTGTGTGTATTGGTATATGTCACATAGTCTACTTTTTATCCTTTTGTGACGCGAGCGAAGCCGCGGGTAAAAGCTACTTAGTTCAAAAATATTTCTAAAGAAAGAAGAGAAGTGGCAAAAAATAAGCTTTTGGGTTTTTTATAGTATTCACGTGTCTCAACCGCAGCCTACATCATCATCATGTCAATCGTTTACTCATTCGGTTTTTCGCGATCGAGGTTACCCACCGCGTACCATTTGCATAGAATGGATAATTGAATTGTGACCTCAACGACATAATACCAATTTTGGATGAAGCAATTTTAGCATCAGATGTGCCAAAAATAGAGTTCGATTTTACTTGTCAGGGTTTAGGGGACACGTGGAAAATGTGTGGTACAATCATTAGGAGGTAGCGGTTATCTTAAACCCACATAGGTAACTCAAAAGTATGTTTTAAAAGTTCCAGCATGTTATTATCTAATTATCGATTGAATATAGACGAAACTTATTTTTGATTATATTTATAAATAAATGTCCTATATTACCTAGTTTAATATCTGCTAATGACACTAGGCCAACGGCCATACACATGACATTACGTTCAGTTAAGTTGTTACTTTACCGTTTTCCGCTAAAGTTAGTGAATCACACCATTTTCTAAAGTTAGGGGCGTTGACAGGCCAGCATTGTTTGTAGGCGTGTAGGTCAAGATCCTCGTGGCCTTGACTGCTGGCTTAGATGCGCGTGCGCAATTATGCGCGATTTACTCATTATGTCAGCGGGGAGTAAAATTACCATACATCTGCACGTTAATTATTATAGTTAATGAATCTATGGTTGAGATATAAATCGATTGTGATTAGTATATTAATTTATTTGATACAAAAATTAAATTGGTTTTTCTTTTTATGTTTTTATCTAAGCTATTAAAGATAGCTCAGGTGAATAGTTTTTGTGGTCTAAAATAGAATTTTCAATTTTTTTGGTTCCGGTCATGATAAATGATTTTTGTATTTTTTCCAAGCAAATAGAGTTACGTCTCTTGTCTATTTTTAAATTTTAAATGAATCGAAAGAGACTCGATTTCTAGTACTTATTTAAGGTTTTATTATTAAACAATTTATGTTCTTGAGAAAATGTCAGCGAAAAGGGCGAGCAGGAACATAGTATTTTATTGTACACTTTATTGTATCTCGTTTACTACTTTAGATAACTTGTAAATTATATGATTACGGAAACTACATCGCACAACATACGCAGTATAATGTACATTACCAAGTAAATTAATAGAACTTCTTCATTTGCAAGAAAATACCCTTGCGTCTAGATTTATTTGGTTTTATAAAGGTATCCTTTTTGGCCTTAAAAGCCTTTGGCCAAGTGGTTGCAAGTGCGGCCTCGAGTTCGATTCCCGGGTCGGACAAAGTATTACTGAGTTTTAAGAAATTCTCAGTAGTAGCGTAGGAGTGCGGAATTTTGTCCGGTATATGGCCATACGCTCACCCCTATTACATGAGACACATAACATAAATAGTGAAAAGCGGGTGTTACATTGTACAGTGGCATAAAGTGCCGTAATGTGCACCTCTGCCTACCCCTTCGGGGATAAAAGGCGTGCTGTTATGTCCTTTTTGGCACACCATTTTTATTTTTACTGTCATTATAAACACAATAAAAGAACAATAGGTTGCGGTCACCGGTGTCCTCGCGGTGTTTGACAGTTTAAATGGGATAGTTTGATCCTACTATCGTTCTCTCTGTAGGTATTGACATTACAAAGCCTTACTTTACTTATGGCATTAAAATATATTAATATAATGATGTTTGTAACTTTGTAAGTAACTTTTCCTAAGTAACTTTTAATATAAGTAATTACATAGGTAAATATCGGTAACTGCAACTATGAAAGTAATTGGCGGTTACCCCTGCTGAGATAACTTGCGATATTATCATAATTACAAGTAATTGAGTATGTGACAGTGATAATTATGTATGTACGAGCACCGGGAATTGCACATAATATTTTATGTAGCCATTATTTATTGGCAGTGCAGTTATTTTGTAGTTCTATCAATAAATATTGAGAATATAGGTAATAAATATTGAGAAATACATCGCGTTATATGTGCTCTTATACATTTAAAAATTATTTAAAACTCAATGTTTTTTTCTTATTTCCTTCTATTTGCAATCGGTCACCAGACCATAAGCGAATTAGTTGAGAACAAAATGGCGTTGTGTCTCCTCCCTCTTATAGAAGGTCGTTCATCCATCCATCGGCCACAGTCGGTATCAAACTCTGTATTAGGAAGATGAGCAATTGCACTTACAGCTTGCTTTGGTAAAATATGTACTTAGTATGTCCAATTAAATCACAATTTATTATATTTTTTATAAAAAATCTCTTAATGCAATTCAAAACTGTATCTTTGACTATTTTCAGAAAAGTAAACAATTGGTTTTTCTAAATTCAATATAAGGTTAACGTATTCTCAAGATCAACAAAATGTTAAGTAAAATCATTTACACAAATATTTCATACTAAATGTCGTGTAGGTAAATCATATTTTATTAAGATGTATCATGTGTATTTACTTAAATGTTAATTTAGACATTTAGAGCAAAGATTAAGTGGATAATAAAGATTACCATACTAAAAATTATTTAAATTAATAACGTTCACACTATTTAAATCTTTCTGATATTTTATTCCAAATTCCAACTTATTTTTAGAATACATAGGTAAGCTCTTCAATTTAACTTCCTTGTTGATTTTTATAGAGATGTCGCTAGTGTCGAGTTGTGCACTGTAGCGTATGCCATCCATACCTGATCAGTTGAACTAAAACTAGATACTGCTGTTTTAAGTTCCAAATTTTTACGAATCCGAAGTATCTCTAGATTTGTCCATTTGTGACAAAAGGCTAGCAAACTATAGGTATCTACATACATTTTGGTCGTTTAACCGCTTGAATGCACCGGTATGAGACACAATAGACAATACATTGTGTCTCGCGTGGATCCACGTTTAGACACATGAAAGTTTAATCAAAATGAACAATCACATCCCTTATATCACAAAATATACCTAAACTAAAACCCTCGAAATCTACCGCCCCTGATGAAACTCATTCTTCGACAACCATAACAATTATGGCAGGGTAAATATTTAGTGGTAATGCAATTTACTCTGTGTCACCCAACGACTTGGTAACGCCATGCTGCGACAATAATCGCCATTTCATTGCCTCACTACATATTACACGGTAATTATACTGTCATTATTATTGATGTTTCAATTAAAACATGTCTCAGACAGCATTCAGTGTCCTTTCGTCATTATTTTAAACTGTTACTCCGAATTGGTTTAAAGGAACGCAATAACAATTGGCATGCTTATCACCTATTTTGGAAAATCACATTGAAACAAGAGATAAA